TATGATCAAGAATTCGTCAACTGGTTTAAATGTAAGATTCTAAAAAATCGATAAAGTGTTGCGAAAGCTTTTCAATACATCCATATCTTTGAAAACCGGAAAACCGACTTATAGAAGATTTGCTAACACCTAAACGTTTGACAATTTTTCGAATCGATAAGTATTCTAAATTTTTTCAATCATAAAGTTTTGGAGTTTCGAGATTTCGGAAGGAATTTCAGGTTTCGGGTTTTCGGATAGGGTTTCGGGTTTCGGATGAGGTTTCGAGTTTCGGAAACTATAATCCGAAACCCGAAACTTTCGGATTTGGCAAAAAAGGTTTCGGTAACCAACTCTATTGCACACCCTAATGACTAGTATAGAATAAATGGAACTTATAGGCAGACTACTTAAATAGGTAACCAAAAGTTGCAGAAATGCTAAGTTGTACTCTTCAAATATGTACTAAGTGGTTATATATATTCAATGTAATATTGTAATACCAATTGAATAAAAACAAAGTGACCAAGAGATAATCTTAACACCAAAAAAAAAATAAAGCTAATTAATATAAGCTTGTAACGATAATCTTGGTTTATCAAAATCTGTACTTGGGCTATACAAACTTAATAAATCGATTCTCATAATCCGGCCGGGTCAAATTTTACAAAACTTAAAAAAAAATTAAGTAGATTTACTATCCGGGTCACTTTCAAAAATTTATGAGAACCAATTTATTAAGTTTTCGCGAATAATGCATAAATTTATATCAAATCTGTACTTGGTTTAATAAATTTTTATCGCGAATAATGCATAAATTTGTCATTAATTAATCTGTTACTATTCTTTTTTTAATTTCAGCTTCACCCACGATACTTATTGTTATGAACGATAGTTATATTACTAAATTTAAACTTTATTTGATTTCAAGATAAAAAATCGACTTATCTTCGAAATAATAATAAGGATAATTATTCATTCTGTTATAATGAATTAAAACCAACCATGTAAACACCAACATATTTATTTCATAAAAGCTTATACGAAATTACTTATGCAAGATACTGAAATAATGCAAGATTAAACATTGTAATCACAAATTAGGTGGAAATACTGTATATAGACGGAAGTATTTAAATTTCATGGCTGGTGTGAAGATTATTATCCGAAGGACAAATTAAAATCGTATTGTTCTTGAGTTTTTTGGCAATCTCTTGAATTCTTCTTTGGTGTCAAAATCAAAATCATTTTGTCGAATGTTCAAAGAAGTTAGGGTGGTATTCTTACAAAGTGCCACCATTAACGCTTTCGCCCCCTCTGATCCAAGCTGAACACATCGAAGATCCAAAGAATTCAAGGTAGTATTTTCACAAAGCGCATTTGCTATTGCTTTTCCTCCTTTTGACCCCATTTTATTACACGCAAGATTCAAATAACTTAGGGTAGTGTTTTTGCAAAGCACTGCTGCGAATGCTTTTCCTTCCTCTGATCCAAGTTCATTGTCACAAAGATCCAAAGAAGTCAGGGAGGTATTTTTACACAATGACTCCGCTAGTGCTTTTCCTCCCTTTGGTCCAAGCTTATTCCGTTTAAGATTTAAGGAAATTAGAGAGCTCAAGTTCCTACAAAGCGCTTCGGCTAATACTTCTCCTACTTTTAATCCAAGTTCATTACACGAAATATTTAAAGATTTCAAGACGGTGTTTTTGCCAATTGCATCTGCTAATGCTTTGCCTCCTCTTGGTCCAAGTTGATTATCTTCAATTTCCAATGAAGTCAAAACAATGTTTTTACAGAGCGCCTTTGCCAATGCTTCCCCTCCTTCTGATCCAAGATTATTATGACAAAGATCCAGAGTAGTCAGAGTAGCGTTTTTACAAAGTGCATCTGCTATTGCTCTACCTCCCTCTAATCCAAGATTGTTACCACAAAGATTCAAAGTGGTTATGGAGGTGTTTTTGCAAAGTGCATATGCTATCGCTTTTCCGCCTTCTGATCTAAGTTTATTATTACAAAGATTTAAATGAGTCAGCGTGGTGTTTATGCAAAGTGCTTCTGATAATGCCCATCCACCCTTTGATCTAAGATTATTATTATGAAGATTCAGAGAAGTCAGAATAGTATTCTTGTAGAGCGCCTTTGCTAATATTTCTCCTTCATTTATTCCAAAGTTATTATTCCGAAGATCCAATGAAGTCAGTATAGAGTTCCTGTAAAGTACATTTGCTAACTCAATTACTTCTTTTAACCCGTTTTTAAGCATAAGCTTCCATTCTGATACAACGTTCTGACCACCCGCAGCATACCTGCTGCTCCAGAAAACTTCTTCATAAAGTTTTAATGCTTCGAGAAATCTGCCCTCCTTTAAGCATTTACGCGCTTCCTCTCTCTTATTTGCACGTATATTCTTAATAAAAAGCGAAGATTCGGAGATTTTATTTGTTTCATATGGCGTTTTCTTTTTCTTATTCGTACGTATATTTCTACTAAAAAGCGAAGACCCGGTGGTTTCATTTGTTTCATGTGATATTTCTTCTTTCTTAATCACATGTATATCCCTACTAAAAAACGAAGATCCCGTGAATTCATTTGTTTCATGTGTCGATTCTTCTCTCTTAATCGTGATTTCATGAGTTTCATCTTCTCTCTTAATCGCATGTATATTCCTACTAAAAAGTGAAGATCCTGCGATGTCATTCGTTTCATGTGTCGATTCTTCTCTCTTAATCGTGATTTCATGAATTTCATCTTCTCTCTTAATCGCATGTATATTCCTACTAAAAAGCGAAGATCCTGCGATTTCATTCATTTCATGTGTCAATTCTTCTCTTTTAATCGTGATTTCATGGGTTCGATGTGGT